CATTTAGGTCAATATCTAAATGTCCCTGGTCAACATAAAGAATGTTAGACTCTGTTCTATTCTTTCCAAAGCTTAATTAACAAATGAATTCACTTAAAAGATGATGGATTTGCTCAATTTGCTCAATAATCAAATGAAGATGTGGTTTATGTATTTACACATAAGTATGTATACATATATGAAAGATACTTAGCACAGGGGAACAAAAATTAGGACCTCGTCATACTACATTTTGTGATGGATTAACAGATTAGGTATTTGCAAGGAGATCAGATTACTAGAGGCATATTGATCATAAACAACTATGTATCAATTAAAAGAGGAAAGTTACTAAGTGATCACTAACTATTAAACAATTTCAACCAAATTAGAAGTTCGATAAAACCTGGATTCTTTTCTCGGCATTCCACTCCGTCTCACCATGACGTACAACTACGATCTCGGTAATATTCCGATCAACAGAACTGAGTTCAGCATCACCACTGCAATTGAAAAGGAAAGTAAGCAGAGTTGATAAGTTCAAAAGATCATTAAGCCCTAGAAATTATCGAAATGTAGGTGCACCGATCAACACATCAATACGTACATGAAAACCTCTATCGATCATATATGTAGATGATATTTGCTTAACTGTTATACTCACCTGGAATGAGTATCGGCCATTAAAGTAAAGACAGCCGTGAGAAGAAGAGGGATTGGTTGAAGCGCGACGGAGAAGCTTACGAACTGTGTTCTTCGCCACCACAGGATCCGATTCCGGTTGTTGGCTCCGTGAAGGTTTGAAAGCTTTACAATACTGTGACGAGAGATCAATGGTGGCAGAGAAATGGCTGATGATTCTAAATGACACCAAGTGCACAGTGTACTCATTCCCCTTTCATCGGAATTAGGGCTGTTTAAACTTTAAACAGTTTACAAGCTACAAGCTACTCAATTAATATTACAGATGACACCCTGGTGTTTGTTATAATTTCATTACAACCCCTTTCAAAACTTTTGTTCATTATTGTTATGGCTGTTTGTTACTTTACATTTTGTTTAAATTCATTATTCAGTTTTTTTCTTTCCTATCAACTTTCATCTTTAATCTTCACCATACAGAATCATCTTTTTCAATCCACTCATGTATTGAAACATATGGTACAAATTGAGATCCCACATACAGAGAATGAGTGGATCGAGATTGTTCATCATTCAGTCAAACTCTCACTGGTGGATCCCTCACATTCATAGAATTCTATTGATGGTACCAAAGATACCGCCCCCACTATCTGCCACCATTCATCCCATACCGTGCACCCTCTAATATAAAAAATATGTAATCATTAATACTAAAATAGAATGAAATATTATAAGAAAAATAAAAAATGTAGTTGTATATGTTATATAGGAGGGGTGGTATACATTTTCAACAATATAAATTACACTCTCAAACGATCTTAAAGGAATCATTTGTTATTTTAGAAGTTTGGGGCAAATTCAATATTTTATAGCCTGAAAAGTTATTAAGTCAACTTTTACCCCCAACCATTAAGCACTTAATGACAAAGTGTAACATCCAAATTTTCAAACCAAAATTTTTATTTTTAAAATTTGATAAACATTGTTTATAAAACTCGCATCAAGAAAACATAAGTATCATAAAGTCATGCCAAAATATCAGAGTGTCAAATATGTGGAAAATCACAAATATTGCAGGCGAATGTATGCAATCAGGCATTCGTCTTCCAGTAATCATCTAAATTACTTGAAAAACTTTTAATCAACAACTATAAGGACGAGCTTAATGAGTTCCCCAAAA